AAAAAAAAAAAAAACAAAACACCTGATTACACACAGAAAATATTCTGCCCAAACATCCAAGATACTAGAAAACTAAATTTCCTTTATACTGCCTTTCTGGTTCCATATACCTTCAGGTTTTCAAATATCTGTAAGGAAAGACCTACAAATCTATGGGATACCTCTTCCTCAATGTCTCCACAGAAGTTAACAAAAGATTCTGTTCCATATGCGATACATAATGAGGCAAATAACATCACACCCCCACACATATTTACCTTCTGTACCTTACAGATGCCACAGAATCCTAGAGGAGTCCTGTGGTTTCTGCCAGCACAAGACATGCACTCAGCTTTCTTTGTACGTCACATTGATATAGTTGGAAAGTTCTGTAAATTGCAGGAGGAAACAAGGATGTAACACAGTTACACATTAATTATGGTCTTCACTAGAATCCATGGAAGAGTTCTGGAAATACCAACTGATTGTTGGGAGCCAGGGGTTGGACTAGATACCTGTAGCAGCCCCCTCCAACCTCAACTACTCTGTGAAGACTAGTATGGAAGCAACAGAAATATAACAGAAACAGAGAGGACACCATGTGGTTTTTTTCTAATTTTTAGATTAAGGTCCAACCTGAAACAAAACTGGTGACAGAACTAGTAAGTGTAAAAATGTTGAGCTATCCTGAGACTGTGTATTTCCCATGCTTCAATCCCATATAAAGTTCTATATAGCAAAAACTGGGAAAAAAAATATTGAAATCTATGACCACTAAGCACCTTACACTGAAGCTTTAAAAACAAAAACGAGACAGAAAAGAGACTATTCATTAACTTTCCTGAACAATTTCCCTCTTTTCGTAACTTGAAATCCTAGGAAAGGGAGGAAGCAGGTAGTATAAATTCTTCTAGAGCGCAATTTAATACAATCTACCGGAAAATAACAATCAAATCCTCTGGAGAGGTTACAAATTCACATTGCTGAAGCTATTTGTAACTAGTAAGTCTCAAATAAAGCCCACTCAAGTTAGAACTGTGATACAGTTAAGAAAAAATTGAACCAGGAGACAGCTAGCGCAGCTCAGTCTGCTCCTTGTGCATAACTACCGTAACCAAGTAGAACCTGCAAGTGACTTATGTAGGAAACAAAATTAATTACTGGAAGCACCTGAAGCATTTGGTATTTCATGGGATTTTGATGCAGGTGATGGTTTATTCACACACATATACAGTCTTCACTACATTCACACTTGAAAATTGCAAGTTAAACCGTATGAACCTTCACACAGCAGCTGGACACTTCAGATTCAAACTAACCTACGGTTGATCAGTTATTACACTTTTTAGATTAATCTGTAATAAAAAAGTATCAGAAAATTCACATAATTTTTTGCAGTTACCCAGCAGTTCCATTGCATCATCTTCATTGTCAATATCTTCTTCGGTTACAGATGGAGCTGTGCTTTGAGCAGAGTCAAATGAGTCCTGAGAAAGCATGGCAGCCAGCAGTTTCTTATGTTGCTGCTGTTGTTGTTTGAGTCCTTTGGTCTTTGGCTCCATTTTTAAGCTGTGAGGGACGAAAAGCACAACTTTCTCTTACTTGTTAAGTTAACCATTTGTCAAATTACAGTAGCCCACGACGTCCTCCAGATCTGCAGATTAACACCATCAGATCACACACAAACCAGTCAGTTATCACTCATTCCCTGATCATTGGGTGTTATATGTCAGTTTGTGTTTTCAGGTCCTATCTAAACTTTTGATTGCATGATGATGGGAAATGTCCCACTGACGTTATAGACATTAATCAAGTCTAAATAAGCCACGTACACAGAGCAGCAGGATGCCAATTACTGATCAGTATTGCCAAGGCACTGATCACACAGCAACAAAGCAGACCACAAAGAACTGCTCCCTTGAGTAGTTATCACAGCCCCACAGGATTAAAGACTAACAGTTCTCATGGTTTGTTGAATTGTGTTCCTGACCTAATTAACAGACAACTGGAACTGCTCAGAAGTTAGCAGAAGGGTCTAAGGCAGGACTGGCTATAGTCAACAGTTTCTGATACCTTAAAGCATCAAGATAAAGACAACAGGACAGGAGTTTGGTGCCCCACAGGCAGTTATCAGCAACACCTCAAACTGTCTTACAGTCTGTTGCAGGAAGACAGGTAAGTTGCAAATGTATGAAACTCAGTAGAATCAGTGATAAGATCACTTCTCCTTGCAAAGATAAACACTAATAAGACAAAGCAGACTTGGAGATGAAGAATGAGCTTTGAGTTTAAGGCATCGGGTTATGGATGAGGCTTCTGCAAGCTCTAGTTCATTTCAGGATCTAAAAACCAAGAGCATCATATTAAAAATCACTCAAATTCCCCACTGGGTACATACATTACCCCTTGAGGAAGTTTCCCAAGAGCCTTGCTTCTTCTCAGAATTTCCCCAGGAACTTTTTCATGTAGAAAACTACTAACAGTGACTTTGGAATGAGTTTAAGCCTATTTTCACAGTGTTTGAATTTCTGAAAGATGAGCTTGGTACCAGCAGAACTGCAATCTGCACTTTTATATGGTGCCTTATCACATTTTAATACCTTGCCTTGCTCCCTTAGAGCAGCAACAGAGAAGCAGTACAAAATCAGTGACAAACACGGACTTTGTAGCAGTCCAGAGTATTAAGGGCAAAAAGGTGACCCTTCATCAGTTTGACAAGACATCACTAATACAGCTACCTCAGACTGGCCACACCACCTTTCTCAGTCAAAGCAGCAGTGAAACCTGTCCTTCCAGTTGCTTCCAATTTATTCCTCTTCTTTTTTAAAGCAACTGGGCCTGGCTTTCAGATACACAGGGTCTGTGTCTGTTGGTTAGCATCATAGGAACGTATGTCTTCAAGGAGGAAATCGTGGTTCTTTCCCACTGACCACTACTTTTTGGTGCAAAAAGCGAGGTTCGTGGTTGCAAAGACAAAAACCAGACAATACACAGATTCCCAAGTATCACATACTATGTATAGTCACTATGATCTCCAGAGGAACATGTCATTCCCTGCAGCCTACTCAGCCCCCTACAGAAGGCTGTGAATGTGTAAGGATTCAGCGCTTCCCCTGCCACCAGACCAGAAACTTGTATGCTATGGTTGCTGAAAACATCACAGAGGGAGTCACTTGACTCTGAAGAAAATTACTCTGGTCTCTAATTACTAGTGGTCTCTCAATGCCTAATCCTCTCGATATTTATATAGTATTTCACTGATGTAGCATCTCCTTACGCTTAGTGGTAGTAAAAGAAAACATATTACCTGGAAATAATGGGACTGTTACAGTTTTCACTTTCCTGCTCTTATGTTGTAACTGAAGGTTAGGATTAGTTTTGAGATTTTGCTACCTCATCACATAAATCCTGATAATTAGTGATGAATAAGGTATCACTTTTTAACAAAAATGTTTCTAAATCAAACTTAACAAGATATAATTTGAAATATTTAATGTGAATTCCAATTTGCTCCCTCTTTCATTTAGCAGGTAAAAATGTAACTGAATTATTCTAGGCTACATTAACTATGAAACAGATGAACAAAATACAGATGAGGTAGCAAAAAATTATCTACAATTGATAACAACCTCACTCAAATTTTAAGATTTTAATTTCATTTTATGCACCCCATACCATTCTCACTACTTTAGGATGCACTGGGTATATGAGACATTAAAACTAAATTATTATTACCTATATTACTTGTCTCATGCATTTGGTGTTCCAAAATCTGCTACACAGTATTTTAATTCCCAGTAACACTGAATCAGACCTTGAAGAAACTACCTGTTATTAGTGAACTATTATTAAACATTTAGATTAACCTTGATCAATGTGGGTCTTTTAAACTACCATATACAACTGGTATCAATTTTAGTATCAGCACTATCTTGAAGTTCTGCAATTTTATGATTATTTCGCAAGACTGCAAACATGCTTTTCACAAATGTCTTAAAAAAGCTGATTAAATACTAAAGAAGTGAAGAATTCTCCCAGACACAAAATCAGTTATCCAAATGTAAATTTGTATGCTGCATGTAATTTAGTAGTTATTAATTTCCACTGAAAACCAGTGGTCCTGCTTAATGATACATATCTTTCAACAGGTCTTCACCACTTCCTGCACCTAAAAATTAGAGCTATTGGTGTCCCATGAGTCTTTCTACCATATTCTCCTTATTTCATATGCCAGACAATGTGATTTTGTCATGATATTCAACAAGACTTCTCAAATACTATTCTCAAAGCCATTCATCACATTTTTTAATTATAGAATTAGCTGTGAGGTTTCTCACAGCTTGTACCACCCTTTACAAAGAAAAAAATCACTACTTTAAATCATCTTTGTTACTCTGAACTAAAGCTCTTTGGTCCCTTCTGGAGATTTGACAGAGATTTGACAGTGATGCTTATTTCTGCTTCTTCCTACTGAGAGAAGGAATACAACATTCTCAATTTGTTCTGCAATGTGGAAGAGATCTTTATTCAGCACTTTTATTGGACTGCTGAATAAAGAAAAACAAAACAATCCCAGGCCCTCACAAAGGAGCTGCAGTGCCAGTTGCTGATTCCATTAATTTCCCAGAAACTGCACTGGAGAGACCCTGTGTCTGAGTTCTGCTGGTTCCAGTCCAACATCTGGCTGAAGGATCACTGCTACACGCTGCGGCTTCTTTGAGATAGTAGTATTTGCAGCTTTCCCCACAATAACCTAATTAAAAGAAACATGAAGTACTCATGGATAATAAACATCCCCCAACATGTGATGTAAGCTAATGAAGGCAGCCTGGAAGAGTACAGCAAGTGACAGACCAGTTTCCTTGTGACAGGGAGGAGAATTCCAATGTAGAAGGCATATGGAGGACATAGTGGAGGAAGGAACACCTCAAAGCTCTTCAAAGTGAAAGCAGAGAGTTTCTGCCTTCTTAAAAGAAGTAAAAGGTGTCTGCTGCAGTCAGAATACTACTTAAAACAAGGGAGAAAGGATACATGGCTGAGGGAGAACCGTAGGTGTTTAAGCCAATTAACAGAAGCAGTGCACAAGCTTTACACTTAAAAAGAAAGCATGAATCCCTTTTAAAGGAAGGCTGTGAATACTCCACTTTCTGTGATAAACAGGTATCTTTAAATGACAGAAAATGGACTCCCTGTAAAAACAATAATCTCTTCCATGTAGCTGCAGCACATTAACAAACATACTCCCCACTCTCAGTCAAACTTAAATCACCAGAAAATAATTACTGCAGAAAACATGATTTTCTGTTTGAGAAAGAATTGTGATTAACACCAAGATAAGTGTAAGAACTGAAGATTAATTTAGAAAGTCCTGTTAAATGAACACAGATACCGTTTTCCTTGTCTATCTTCCTTATAAATGAGAAAATCAAATTTATCACTGAAGCGTCAAGAAGATTAACAAGCAGCTAGTACCAATCACTGAAGGTCTCAAGTGTCTGAACGGAGCTATACATCACAAAATTACAATAAAAGGGACCCCAACCATGCCAACATACACTTCGCTTTCTACATGGGTATAAAAACATCAGATTGTAAATGAGTATGAAGTCAATCACATGAGAAGATCCATTTATTCTGAAGGCTGCCACACTATAGCATGGGAATTTAAACGCCTGGCACTCTGCTGTCAGAAATGTGGTGTTACAAAGACTGCTCTGCTTCACAAATTATAAACTACCTAGGTCAGATGCAAATCCCACCTTCCTCCAGGACTGCTGCTGTCCTCGCTGTCCCACTGCTCGTTTTTATTTCTCGGCACTGGCGGCTGCAGCATCTCCGCAGCGAGTGGGTCTGCATCATTCTCTTCACGGCCAACCCATTCTCCAACCACCCGAGGTCTGAGAAGGGGGGAGGGAAAACCTGCTGTGTCCTGCAGAGAAATACAAAACCCAAACAGAAATACCGTGCTTTTTGTTCTCAACCACACACGTAATGAGGAGAAGAAAAGTGGAAAATAAAACTATTGATTTAAAAAAAAGTACAAAACCAGTACAGCACATCATAATTTCAGAGGGCTACAAAATACCCATAATCATGGACTAATGAAATTATTCCCATTAAAAAAATTCCAAGAGCAATTTGCTCACCCCAATGCCTCTAATCTCTCTTATCTCTTACATCTGAACAGCAACTGTAGAAATCTGGAATATCACTGTGAAAATTTGTAATTTTTTTTTTTTTTTTAATAATGCACAACTCTTGAAAACACAATTGTCAGTTCTGCCAAACAACAGATGAGGTCACCTGTCTAATGAACACCCCTACCAAAAGACTGCTGTAGATTAATAGCATCACTCTTATTTGCATTATGAATTAATGCAAAGCTAATAAATACATCTGCATTTGGCACTTTAAAAATAACCCTGCTGGGATTTACATAATGTATCTTTCAATTTGGAAAATGGTATTAACATTTTAATAGAATGCATTTCTGAATCTAGTACTCAAATTTTTAACCACTTACTGGGAGAAGATATCTGGAGAGGATTACAAGAAACAATCAAAATAAAACTGGAATATTCAAAGCCATAGCAATGATTTGCATCGTTATATTAGGAATTTATATTAAGGATATTAATTCTCCTTAAAAAAAGTATGAAAAAGTTATTCTGAGGTGGTATATCTGATATCAAGGTAAATAGAACAGTTGTAGATAAAGACCCACACATGTAGGCAAAAAAATAGAAATTAAATTATGGGACAGGAATATTTATTTTGCTTGAATTAGAGCAGTATTCCAGGCACACACTGTTCCTAATTAAGAGAAATAAATTCTATTCCTATCCCTTAATGAGAAAAAAATTTAGAAAAACAAATCCTTGGCTGTTACCTAGTTCAGTGTCTCAATAAATATTCCTGCCATAAGACAATGCTTTCCAAACAAAAAGCTTCTAGGCAAAGTACAGCACAGTGATCACTTAGGCTAGCAACCATATTTTCTCATCATCCTAAAACCAATCCATTTTTAAAGTCTCTTCCTAATTGACACAAATATGGTAAACGCACAATTTGAAGTAGAGGCCTCTACAGAAATGAAAGGAACTAAGAAAAGTCTGCAATCTAGTTTCCTATGAAAATCTATTTTTACCCTGCTCTGGTTAATGCCATAATTTTGCTCAGCACAACTCCAAGAGCTTCCATTTTGACAGAGCCAAACGTGACCCCTGAATTAGTCTAATTCAGCCCTTGTTCTCTTATCCTGCTTTGCTCATGTTCAGAAACATTGCTGAAATGGGTACAACCATAAAAACCCATTTTAAATGTTATTTCTCCAGGACACTGGAGTTTCAGCAGCATGGCTGTTGGGTGGGGATTTAAACTTCCACTTCCCAGAGATGTGTCCAAACAGACTTAGGAAGAAAACCTGATGTTCAGAATGAATTTGGTGGGTTTCCTCTAGAATTTTTTAATCAGACTAGAATTTTGTGGATTTCACAGGAACGCTGACATCCTACTGCAGCTTCTTTCTGTGCATGAAAATCTTCACATGACTGAGGAGCTTTAGGAAACTAAACGCTTTTATGCATAGCTTCTGTTCAGTAGTAAGGAGAGTGAGTCAATTCAGAAATTTGTATTAACCCTGCACTTCATCCCTACTATCGGTGAGTCACAAGGTGTCCCTTCTCATTTCCTTTCCTTACACAGTGTCGTTGTAGTGCCAGCTACTAATCTTACACAGCTTCCGTGGCCTAGAGATGCGGGCTGAATCACCAAGAGAGACATTGAACTCTGCAAGTCTGAACAAATGAGATGAAAAAGGAAGGGATCTTTACAATAAATCTGTTCTAATTGCAGTACTCGTAGGAATTTCTTTTGCAATTATACCAGTGAACTGAGAAATTTTATTAGACTGTGTCAAATGGAAAGGTTCCATTCTGACTGAAAGACTGACCTTGTCTGTTTTTTTCTCTACCTCTGTCTTGGACCAAAGCCCTGAGTACTGGCACAAAGCTAATAATAGCAGATACTTGGCAAGAATCCATTTAAATGAAACACTGTTCCACAAAAGTAATTGTAATTCAGAGCTAACTAGATTTCCAAATCCAAATGCTCTAGTAACTAAGGAACTAACTAATTAACTGGATTACTTGGAGGAGGAGTTAAATCAGCCAACAATACTGATTGAGTACTCCCTTGATCCAGCTTACTGTAGCCAGAAAGAAATATTTGTTTAAAAAACACTTAGATAAATAAGACACAAAAATAAAGAAACATACATAAACACTCTCTGTCTTCTCTGTGTTCATAATCAAAACCACAGATAAGAGAGTAAGATTATGAGCTCTGTCCTAGTCTTCAAGAATGTTCCTGATTGCCAGGAAAATACAGCAAGGAAGAGCATACAGAAGAATTTATAATTGTGTTTAGTTTTACATCTGTCACGACATCTGTGTAATGCCAATGTTCTAACAGAACTCAATGCCAGGTTTGGGCACACTACCCTAGAACCATGGCATGCACCTAAATGGTTAAATGAATGTGGTTTCAAAAATTCTTTCAGCGCTACCACAGCTTAGATAAGGCAGCTGTAGTATCAGCACGTTTCTGCGAAAGGAATTGCAATGAGCTTGACCATGTTTATACCTGAAAATAAACATCACCTGGGAACATACCCCTGTGAAATGGAACAAAATTCTGTCCAATGTTAAATCATTACTGGTAATCTTTGGTTGCTTTTGGCTCATGCCAAGTGTTTATTGTTTGTTTCTTTCTTTATTTTACAAATAACTTTTGATTTCAAGAACATTCAATTTACCTGCCCTCATTAGAAACATATTAAAGCAGATGCAGTATTGTTAAGGTTTCACATAATCTATGCTACCGAATACTTGATAAGTTTTATTTTAAAAATGCTCACCACCCTCCAATTTCAAATCACAAACAATAAAATATATGGTAACAAAAAGGAAGTGACTCTTCACTCAGACTAGATCCTGAGGAAATTCACCATTGATGTTCCCCATGTCAACTGTCACACTCAATAAATAAATTTTAAAAACATTAATGTTTTTGAACAGTAATTATCATACTTTAAAAAAATTAACATAGAATTATCTCCTAAAAAATATACATAAAAAGTACGTGATAACAGGCTCTAGCCCAAAATGTCTTTTTCCTCTCACAAAGAGTATTTCATATTTTTTCAACAAACAAAAACAAATGAAAAGGATTTCCTCATAAGTATTCTTAAAGGTAAGGCTTCTAATGGGAGGATCTTCTTAATTGTATTTCTCATCATTCCTGAGCACAGTGAAGGCAATAGCAGGAAGGAAGACTTAGACACTGTTACATTCCTAACGTGAACAATGAGATAAAGCAACATCAAGGACAAAATGAGAAGTGAAGGCCATGGCTTTGAAACAGCCACCCCAGGTGCACATGACTGTATTGCAACAGAGATCAACCTTCTCCAAGTGGCCTTTCCTGGAGAATCCAGTGGAGGTATTTTATAGGCACTTGTGTCGGAAAGGTTCATGCCCTCATTTGACCAGGAGAAAGGAAAGATACTTTAAAATCTGTCTCCTATACTAGGCATTATTCCTGTGTCTTATATACCTTTAGATCTTATTTCCCTGTGAGTAATGGTTTCGGACACCAACAACCACCCACAAGATTCTTGGCACTAGAAGCATACTGGAAGATAAACATGTTGTTTCATTTGGAACAAAATTAGCATAATTACTCTTTCAGCATAGAGTTCATTACAGCTAAAACTAAAATTAACATAAAAATCTCCAAAACATACCTGAGAATTGAGAATACATGACTCCATGAATAAGAAGCATTTAAAGCTAATTTTTTCCAAAAGATCACAACAGACTATATTAAGCAAAGATAGTATCAAGATCACAAACATTTCCATGGCCTCACTGAGAGTCTCTTAAACTGAATGAGAACTTTTCTTCATAGTTGACAGCCCATCCTGGATCAAGCCCTTAATGTATAAACACATACTGTGTACTTATCCATACAGCTTTCCACTCTGAGCCCCACAGAACTGACCTGTGTATGTCAGCACAGGGAGGTGTAGCTCTCATTGCCTAAAATTACCACAATCATCTGTCTTTTTGTAGTGTTCATTAGGCACAGAGGAAATCTTACCTTATCAAGTTCATCAGAAACAGCAATGCCTGAAAACAGAAGAAATTAAAAAAAATAATAATTTAGAAACATCTCTACAAATGCCTTTTACTACAGTAAGTAAAAGTAAGGTTTAATCCGAGAGGTTTACACCTTGTTCTCCGCACTGTACCATACCATAACACATATAATACTTTGTTCCATTACTGAAATTGCCTAGAAACAGTATACTCTCAACTTTCCTCAGCTGCAATGTGATCAAAGCAAGCTCAAAAAACTATGGAAATGAAAACAGCAGCTGTGCCAGTGAAGTGACAATGAACCTAAGTATACTTTTTATTCTGAAATTAAACCAGTAACATAATATTTACATATGGTCACATTATTGTGCAAGTCTCACCCTGACCAGCATGAATAAAACCACACTGCAATTTGAGGGCAACATGGACATAACTCTCCTCTCTTTCTCCACGGTTCAATGTGGAAAGGATTCTATGAAAAAAGATGGAATTTAAAGAGAGGAAAATCTCCAAGTAAAATTTCACAATACAATGCAAACTAGTTTTTCTAAATCCTCTGAACAAGAACATGTTTATTTGCTCTTGTCCTTTCAGCTGATGCCTGCCTGAGGTTTCCCTAGGTTTGTTTCCATCATGTCATCTGACTCCTTTAACTACGACTGTCCTGTGGCACATATGCACAACTGGTCTCAGAATTTTTAATTCATCTACACGCTTCAACAGTAACACATGGAGAGATCAAGTAATCATACATTTAATGTTATCATGATGAAAACTCTGATATAATGAAAGCAAAGCATTTTGCAGGTTCCTATGAGAAACATTTCCAGGTTAGAACTTCAATTCAAAAAAAAAAAAAGACAAGAATCTACTGGTGGTGAAGTAGAGAAGTATCCATGCATAGGAAGAACACATATTTGAAAGTTGTATTCTAATTTATATCATGCTATTAAGACAACTTCTTTCAATGAATGTCAGAAAGGATTTGAAAAATAAACAGCATCAGCTGAGCAGAGTTACTCTTTTTGAAATCACATTGAAGAGTGCCACCATCAGCTAATACTCACAGATGGATTACAGTCGGAATTAATGAGGTAGCTACATGCCAATTTTATGTCTTTAAAAATTCACCCTTTTACAAGTAATTACGGGTGTCAAATCTGGATCAGGCATCACAAGTACCCAGCCCACTCCACTGTCTGTGGAACTACACGCAGTTTGAGGGCACTTGGGGCTACTGCTGAGTGTAACAACCCTTGGGGATGTAAGGGAGTTGGAACAATAAAGTAACTGGTCTGAACACGGTTTCCCAGCACTTCAGAATGGCTCCACAGCCTCAACTGGTGCCATCTCTGATCAGCAACACCTCTGAGTGGGGCTGCTTGTGCTAGCACAGCCTCTCTTGACTGGAACACTTCCACCCTGGCTACAGCTTGGTTTTTGAAGAGAACTGGAAGAACAAGGTACTCCGGATTGCAAGAAAGGTCTGGCACACTCAAACTAAACAAAACATGACTACCAGACAACATAATAACAACTCAACTTGTATTAATATTTATTATACTGAAATTACTATTACCATGCCCATATTAAGCCGATTGCCCCAAAGCATCTCTCACTATATTAGCCATGTACCTTATGGCTTTTTTAAATACCTAAAATATTAAACCTTTTTTGTTTGTCATGCTTTTTTTTAAAGTTAACCTGGATTATTACAACTATTCTTTATAGGGTTATCTTGGACTTCTGTTCCAAATCTTCCACCCTATGGCAATCTGCAGCAGCACAATGGAAACAATGGAGGAATAAATATGATAAGCATGAGACCATCATCTTTGATGAAAAATCCACCTCCCAAAATGTGTCTGCCCTTTTTGAGTCTAGAATTATCTTCTACAGTAAAGAAAAGACTTTCTGCTTAGGACATTCAGCTTCATTTCTCACTTAACAGGCAACAAACTTTCTATTAAAATAAAAATGAACATTGTTAATAACAATTCCATGAGCCTTAAAAATGCTCAGCTTCTTCATACACGGTTCTTAGCAGGATTTTATTTGTTGCTGCTCTCCTGCAACAAATACAATCAATCCAGTGTCTAATGCATCTCCACTCAGTGATATTATTCCTCTCTGATGAGTGACTTTTAGACTTTGATGCTTTCAATTCAACAGCATAAAATCAATCTCCCAGTGCATCTCAAGTTCTGTAACCAGCTCCAGGACACACACAGAATTACTATTTTACCATCATTAGCATGGCAGCTTTGAGCATGAACACAGGAATATTTCAGCATGTGTCAATCACCCACGGGTAACTGTTCCAAGGCATTCTCCTATCAATCATAAATCCAGGGAAGCATGTGCTCCCCCACTGATGGGACAGGTCATCCTCTCAGATGAACTTGCATTGCCCATGGGAAAACCTTGTGCCATCCTGTGGCATGGTAGATTTCAGCCCCTGTGCCAGTTTCCACCATGCAAGGTAAATTAAAATTATTTCACACCATCCTTGGGTTATAGAGGACATAAAATGATTCCTCTGCTTGCACCAATCAAAGCATTCCCTCCAGAAGATATGTACACAAGAACCAAACCATCTCAGTCATTTCTATATAGGAACTGTAATAGATTTGTCATGGGCTTGATAGACAACGTTGTATTATTTCCTTTACTTACACTGAGGCATTCTACAGCTTTCAAAATTAGACATATTTCCTCCAGTAGTAACTCAAGGGATTTTCTGTGAAAGCATATTGAATTGAAACCCCAGAGTTCTTGCCAATGAGGAGCATATGTCCTTCTATTATTTAAAAACTATCAAATTTCTGTAGTGGTACCCATCTTAAATTAGGATAACATTCCTCCCAACACCTAGCCATATAAGAACCAGGGGAAATTGTGTAATCTACAAGGGCCCACACATTAACATGTCAGCACACTATATATCTGTGCAGTCACTATATACAAACACGGATTTAATCCCTCCTCCTCATTGTGGGATTAAAAAATAAAAATAATTAATTCCCAGCAAAAGAACCTCTCACTTAGACATGCAGCATTTCTATAGCCAAATTTGTGAGTGGCTCCAGCTGAGAATGGCTTCAGGATTAGGTTTGGTGAGTAATGAATTAGGCAAGCAGAGAGAAATAAAATCCAAAGCACCCAGGAAATACTACATCCCAGAAGCCCTCCTAGGCCAAGGTCATCTCAGAAGAAAATATTCAATACTTCAGAGTTTTTTAGAACTGTGGATTTTAGGAAAGGTGTACACTGCAGTAGGTTAGTTAGGATGGGTAGGAGCACACAACACCCAGTAGCCAAGCAGAGAGTCCAAGCCCACCCTCCTACTACCCCTCTGAATGCCAAACCCTTTCTCCTAAGAACTAGAAAGTACCACCTCTGAGATGAGTCACACAAGCCCTAGCCCTGCAATAGCATTAGGGCAACTTGTAGCGAGCCAAATACTGTTACAGAAAAGGACACTATACCTCAAAAAAGAGACTCTAGTCCTGAAACTTCAAGGCAGTTAGATTAGAATAGCAAATACCTCCACAAAGGTAATTAAAAAATTAACATCTGCAGGAAAAAGATACTTTTAACTGAACTAACAGTGATCTCTCAGACGTATAAGCCGCACTTCATAATCGAATAGCAATAACTACATTCACATTCTTCCCGTTTCAACCTCAGAAAATATCAGTTTTTTGTACTATTATTCATACATCACACTAAAAGCAAATGGATTTTATAAGCAAAGGCAGTATCGGATAACAGCTGCAGTATCGAGATAAAATTATCTTCCTTAAAGGTTTGAGAGCTTATCTACAAATGCCAATCTCGAAATAAATCACAAACATTGATCTCACACAGGAATAACACGATTTTAAAGTTCAGCCTGACTAGAAGAAAGGAAACAGTCCTCTACAGAATATTGATGACTAGTTTTGTGGTTCAATTAGCAGAACGCATTTAAGGGTAGAAGTGCCTGGTTTCAATGGGAAAACTCAGAGGTCTCAGATAAACATTTGTGGCACTCCCAGCTGCAATAGAAATAATTAAATTTCCTATCGTGCAGAAGCTTCTAAAAGAAACCCCATTCTAATGTGTTTCAGAGACTGAAAAAAGTAGTTCACGATACATATATTAAATTTCTCACATCCCACTTACTCACAGATTCATCCACAAAACCACAGACATGATTTCAGTGGTTTGTTAACATATTCTGATCATTTTTTGAACTAGTTCTACCCTTATAGTTATGAGAGTTTTATTCCTGTTGCTTTCCTTCTTCCCGTAAAAGACAAACAGAACATAGGCTTTTATGTTTCACTACTTTATCTTTTTCTTAAAGATAAAGGGGTAAGAACATGCTTGTCTGTCTTAAGATGTATGCTTTAAACAACATCAACTGATTCTAACATTATGAGAAGTAAATGTTGGAGATAGTCTGGAGGGACTCAGAGATCTTTCACTCTTGGAGATATTCAGCCATAGACAACTGACTCTGGGTGGCCCTGCTTGACCAGATGGCCTCCAGAGATCCCTTCCTACTCAAATATTCAGTGATTCCTTATGGTTCCCAGCAATAATTCCTACTAGGTTGCAGATAGCTTTCTTATTTACTGGTTATTTATTGATTGATTACTCCTCTTCCAAATGAAGAAATAAAGAGTACTTTTTCCTATCGCTTATAACTAGATATCATTATTTTGGGGATTCCCTCCAACTGGCTTGGATTGGTTACCAAATAGTTACCAATTTACTGACATTAGACTATCCATTGAATTCAAATCACAATAAATGTATTTCTTCCCCTCGGATTTGTAGCAGACACCTGACCTTAACGAGGACTCAAACATTACTTACAAAAAGTTGGTTCTCTCTGTTGAAAGGCTATGTGTAATTATCAAAAAGCACCTCACATTAAGTGTCATCAAATGCTGTTGCATCATGTAAATTGAAACATCCAACATTTTCAACATGCACTCTAGCCCTTAACAGCTCATAGGAAAGATGAATTCTTCACAAAGCAGGCAGACTTCACACCAAGTTTGCAGCAAGCTCTTGCTGCTTCAGTCCTTTTCTTACTCAAAACACCCATAATACACTATTTTCCATCTCTTGTTATCTCTTTTTCAATTCTCATAAGGTGGGGGACTGAAGTCAGTTATATTCATGAGCAATATGCCTAGCTGCATTCTCATTAAAAGGCAAACAGGCAAGAAGGTGAAATACAAGAGCATACATCTGAAATAGCTCAGAACTTTTCTTACTTATGATCAGCTGAGGAAAAAGGATGACAGCAACAAAGATGAGAGATCTTGCAATCAAGAAAACACACACAAGGGAAATGTGGTATCTTCCTGGATGTTGCCTCAACCACCAAAATGTTCCTTAAGTTGTTGACATGATAGTTCCAAATCCACTTCCATGACACACAGCTGATTGGAGGAGCAAATGAAACCCAGGTTCCCCACATGGGTAAGCCTCTGGACAATGATATTAAATCACCAAGCTCAAACACACTTAGACCATAACTATGACAATACTCTTCTCCAGTCTCCCAAAACTCATACTTTTAACACTGAGTGTGAAGTCACTTATACTTTCAAACTTCTAGATGTGTCTATTCTCTGAAACCACTCAAGATTTTCTATGTGCAAACTGTAGGCTACCTTTGGGAGAACAAAAAAGCCACATATATTTTCAATATTATACCTTTTATTTTTTCCCAAGCTTTTCACATTTTTCATTTTGAATTTTCTTATCTTCTTAACACATAAGAAACCACAGCACAGAACAGATTTACTTCCTGAAATCATCTGAAAATCAGGAGTACAAAAACTGGAAACAAGGACATATAGCTTGGAACTAATCTGATGCAAGTGTTTAAATGATAAAACCAAAACAGCTAAAGTGAGTAAACAACTCTCAAAAAACAAAAAAATCCACAAGATAAGATACTGTAATTACAACAGGAAAGGAGGACAAAGTAAAATTGTTAAATAAACAATTCAGAAACATTTAATGGATAGGAAAGGTGGTAAGAACCAGAAGACACAAATTTGTCAAGAATGAATTGCATCAAATCAGTCTGATTGCTTTCTCAACTAGGAAACTTGCCTAGTGGATAAGAGGAGGAAGTAGATGTAAAATACTTCATTTACAACACTTTATTTACTGTCCTGGATGATACTCCAGTAAACAAATTAGAGAATTGCCTTCTAGGTGAAATCTACTTCAAGGTAGATAAATATCTGGTGGGAAAAAACACACTTAGTGAGTAGCTTTCAAGGGCTGGTTGTCAGATCTGAAATGGAATCATGAAGAGGTCTGACAATATTCCCAGTAAAGATCTGGATGAAGAAACAGAGAGTGCATCCATGAGAGTGAACTAACATCAGGCTGCAAGTGATTTAAAGCACTCTGGGGGATAGGATTAAAGCTCCACAGTATCTTGATAAATCATCAGAAAACGTCAAGTGCTAGTAAAAGATAGTGAAGAACATTTCATTTGTGAAATAACTATGAAAACCTGACTCCAGCACACTGGCCAGGTACATTCACCTCCAGCCCAAGTGCAGAAGAGCTGCAGTGTTTTGCCCTGCAGCTAAAAAACTCAGTGGCAAAGGGAAGTACAGAGTGCTGCAAATGGAATTTAGATATAAGGAAGTCAGAGCTCAGTGGAACCTACAAAAGATTCACAAGGAAAGAAAGATGTAGGACCAAAGAGTGGATTTAGTCCTTTATTAGAACTTTCACATGTGATTGGTTTGTGTCTCCAGGCAGTGAATAAATAACCCTTCCTGAAAAACCAAACCTTTCTGTCTCTGTGTTAAGCTGGGTTACAAGTCTCTAAGGGAGAAACGTTGGAAATGACACACACCCAACACAGTAACATGGTCAGACAATAGCAGGGCTTCAGGTCAGAGACCCTGACTGGAGGTGGTTCAGCTCCTTAGAGGCAGATTGACCAGCTTATAAGAAATGTATTTGCAAAGAGCCCTGTAACTATACTACTGAAATTAATATAAATTTGAAAATCACTCAGAATGTAATTTTTGTGATCATCCTGAAACATTTCTGGAAAAGAGAAAAAAATTGGCCAAACTTCCTCCTGGTATTTGACACCATTTGGAAAAATGCTGAATCTCAAAATTCTCCACAGAAGAGATCTTCCATTCTTTGGTCAGCTCTGTTTCTGACTTCACCATCTGCAGTTTCTCCAGTAAATCAAGAAGTGCCAAGAATTTAATGACAGGTGAAAGTACTTCTCATTTAGATGTCTCCCAGGCCCCACCATAGCTAGTTCTCCTGTTGGGCGGAGAGGACTTTTTCTACTTTGGTAGTTGTTAGTAGTGTTTGCTCCCACAAGTGTACTTCAGAATTCTCTACCACACAAAAGACAAAAAAAAAAAAAAATAGCTATTCCTCATCACATCCAGTAATTCTCAGAGCTGTTTCTTACATGCATGAGCACACCATTTTTACACACTGATCCTGTTTGACTATTGTCATTGCTGAGACGGACACAACACAGAAGCTTGTGAGCAAGAAGACACTTTTATGGTTCTAACAAGACTTTTTATATCTTTACTTAAACACATGTGTCTATATATAATTGGTTCAGTCAAGGATCAACAGTTCAAGATTGGACTTTGCTGTAACCTCAAGAAACTTCCTTTATGTGTTCCTTCTGGCAATCTAGCAGTTTCTTCAGACAGTTCCTTATCTTGTTTACTCCGCTCTTCTCAGCCTCTTCAAGGAGACACGGTTATCTGCTTGCATTCCAATCCCTTGGACCAGCCAAGGTTTCCCACAGACTACGTCTTTTAAGGGATAATACTTAGGATTTGCTATGAAATTATTTGCTACTGTGTTTTTGATTATTTCTTTGAGATGCTTTAAAACATTCATATGAATTGCTTTTGCAAACTGTAATTAAGTGGGGTCAAGTATACAAAATACCTGTTTGTTTTCCAGTGAGAGGCCTGTTCTCCATCAATGATATTCAGGTTTCAGAAAGGTTAATCCAATCTGACCACTGCCACCCTAAGGAGCAGTGTCAGTGCTGCATGCACCCACCATTCTCCTTAAAGCAGCCGCTCGTGCTGATCTCTCTATGAGCTAACTCAGCTCACTAAACTAGCAGAAAGCTAATGTAACAATAAACAAGGTATCTTCAGCCAGCGGGAGAGCTGCAAAATTATCTCAGACATTCTGTAAACCTCATCAACAGGAATGTCACTGTTGATGTCACTGACCTTGGTCTCCATTAAACAGAGGCCATCTTCTTGATACATACTTCCAAGTTACAATTCAGGCTGCATGGTTACATTAAAAAACTAAAATCAATCAACTTACTGCGAGACAGATTCTCAAGGGCCTTTCCAAGTTTTTTGCTCTCTTGAAGAATATGATTTAGTTCATCAAAATCATGGGTCTCCGGTTTTGTCCTCCAATCCCATTTAGGATGCTCTATTGACCTTGGCACTAAATATACACAGATATATAGATGAAGTTTAGATTTGGTAGTTCAGACTCCTACATTAGAAAAAAAGTTGAACAATGAGTTTACAAGCTCAGGTAACTAAAGTGGAAATTACTTAACTATCCTATTTTAATAGCTGGAAACGTTTTCTTTGATTAATATGAAATAAACATGAAAATATCTGTGCACAAATCCAGACTTGGGATGATTCTTGCAACTGAACTAACTGGTAAACAGAACAATAGTCACAACTAGAAATAATAAAAATAATGCAATAACAGAAAACTGTAATAAAAGTATTGCATATGAAGATACTTAATTTACATCAAAATAGACTTGTATGTCCTAGGGGCTAGCAAGGAAAAATGCCAAAATGGAAATGAGTGACTGGTACTTTTGGCTTTGCTGGTCATTTTACCAGAAAGGAAGATGAAATATTTTAGATAAAGCTTTTAAACCAACATGTATATACAATTAAAATAAAAATCATAAAGTGTAGAAAATGGTTCATTTAAAAAGTGAAACAAAATATGTCCCTGTTGTTCACGTTGTACAGTCAATAATCTTTATTCTGATACTTAAAGTATACAAACCTGATCTTTGGGAAGCACAGTCCTGAGCTTACAGCCTCCTACTTGTTATCCATTAACAAAACCTTTGATTTAATTTTAAAATAACAGTTTCTTAGATGCTGAGCTAATTTTATCTACAATGGCAGGGAAGAAGAGAAGGCGTTTCTGAGACATGTAGGACCCACAACAAACAGAACCACATTGACCAGTGTGAGCATTTGAATAATTTGTAGAGATGAAAACAGAAACTATGCCATCCCTAAAACTGGAGTTTAACACATTCTTTTTGCCAGTGTTCAGGCCTAAGCCACCTGCTGCCTTCGTCACCAAATGCAATTGTTGGGGTGTCTCAAACACATCATTACTGTGCCAAAAGCTGCATGTGCTGGTGTAAGGATGACAATGAGGATGCCTAGTCCACTCTCCCAAGAGACAGGACCAGTTCCATTTATAAATAGTTGCTAACTACTCATTTAAAACTAACTTCAAAACCAAAGCCTATGAAATCAAATATATCTTGGTCAGCTTGGAAATTTTTATTTGCTATTTTAACAGCTAAGTAATTTATGCTTACAAACTTTATTTTCATTACATGATAAGAAGCAAACTTGCAGACTGCTACAGATCATGCAAAAAAAGCACCATCTTACAAACCTTTAGAAGTTCAGAGTTCTTTTATGGTGGTATGAGGAAATTATGCCCAGACTTTGAGTTCTGGTAGCTATTACAAAACGTGTTAAATAGCTGTTGCTTGAAATTTGTCTTACTGCTGACTGCCCTTTGTGTGAATAGAGAATCTGCTCCACTTTGGATCAGCTCCACAAGGCAAAGTTGAAGTTAAGTCAATCGCCATCTCTTACAGGTAAAGAAATGGGATGGTTTAAGACTGTCTGTCAAAAAGAAGGTGATTCCAACTCCTGCAGACATAAGCTAAGCCACCTTCAAACCTGACATCACCACAGTGTCAGACAACCCAGGGAATATTGAGATCTGTACCACCCACTCAGGAACCAGGAGAAGCAGAAGGGAAGTTAATACGTTAGGCTGCAATTACAGACGTTCTCAAAGAGAAAAGACAAAGGAGACACGAAAAAAGGACCTAAAGAGATAAAAGAAGGATGAAACACAGGAAACCTCAATAAGGAGAAGGGAAGAGCAGGACAAGCTGGAGTGTGAGAGCCTGGTTCTGCTTTGTGTACAAAAAAACCAAATGTTCCGTCTGGTGTCTTTTCTAAACTTTTACAAACGGTGAATATAAATGTTTAGAAAACTAGAAAAGAAATTCTATAATGAGGTCTACCTGGTTTTGCTCACCTTTGTGTTACACTGAGATCACACGCTCCTTCACTCGCCTGTTTTTTCAGCCATCACATCTTCCCCCTTCAGTGTGCCAACACCACACTCTGCAGCTTCACTCACCCTAGCCTACTAGCAGTCTGACGGACTTGTCTTTCCATGTCTACACTGAACACACCACATGTTGTGGTTTGAGGCTTTGAGTGGGTGTGTGACCTTCCAGCACCTGGGAGGACCCCGGGTGGGGGTGAGCCGTGTATTCCCTCCCCTTCCATTCCACACAGTCTGGAAAAGAGGCAGGAAGTGGGTGCTAGTCCCTGCTCCTGCCCTGCGGCTCTGGGGTCCAGTGCGTGCTTCGCTGCGTGGGACCCAGGAACTATTTCTGAGGGTTTTGTATATTTGATTTTACTTTTGTATTTCTCCCAATCTTTGTATATACTTTTTCTTACCTGCCTTTTTCGTTTTCTGTTTCCTGTTAAACAATATACTTTATTTTTTCATTTAAGTCCCAATCGGTTTTTCAAAGTCTCTCTCTCTCTCTCTCGCTGGGGGGAGAGGTGAGTACATAGTTCTGTTCCGTGTGGGTCCTGCCCTGAACCCCTTTTTACACGGAACAAGAACACTACAGAAATCTCACACTACCACCAAAACACATACAGGCAATAATTTAATATGGTAAAATCATGTACAAAGATGATCAAACCTTAGATATTCCAGGCTGCAGAAAATTTCAACAAGCTGAAATTTGGTATCATGTCAATTTGAAACAAACCACATTTTTAAATACAGTGAAGGACAGAGTTTTTGAGAAACCATATGGTTTTGAAATAAAATTTGTCATGGGACAGAACCTGAATGTAACAAAGTTCTACTCAGCAACTGTAGAGCTTCCAGGACCAGCAACTGCCAAGCCTATGGACCAACCTGCATCAGGAAAATGAGAATATCAAGACTCTGTCCTTACAAAGTAGGGAAACTTCCTTAAGAGACAACAGTCTGGTCCCTGCTTTCAGAGAAACATCCCAAAAACACAAGAAGCTTGGACTGCACCTCACCAGATGGATGGTGAGAAACCAGTCCAATGCACGGTGGAAACCTGCTCTGTGCACTGGTGTGCTCCAGGCTGTGTTCCAGTGAACAACTTTGTACTTCAGTGATAAAGTGTATCCAAACAGATACACTGTCATGGAATATTTCTGAGTTGCAGCAGAATTTTTCAACAATAAGTTTGTCTCATTCTACTGAAAGAAAGCTGAGAGGTAAGTTAGGCAGAATTAGAACTGATTGAAATGGTTATTACTTCTAGAGAAGACATAGTTCTTACTTACCTACTCTTCCAACTAATGAATGGATACTAGAACTAAAATCTTCTTCATTACATCATGTGGCATGCATATGTCCTTTCAAGGTTCATTTTCTGCTTGCTCACAAATGTTTTTAAAGTATAAACTTGTATCTTTCAAACTACAGAATCAACAAGCACTGGTCACAGTCAAATGGATGGCTTTTTGTGCAGCCTCCAGAATGTATAAAGACCACATGACCCTTCCTTGACATCTTCAGAAATACACAAACTTCTTCTGTACCTATGAAGTCCATCGTATATCATTGCCATGCTATGTCACTACACACTTACTGAAATTCTCCCATAATCCTCTGACCTTCCTCTTTATGATACTCACTCCTCAAAATCATCATAGCCGTCATTTTAAACACCTTATCACATTATCTGCCTCAACAAATGCACATCAGATTCATTTGCACACGTGTTATGAATTCTGTCACAAATACAAGATCAATACTGGTTTCATCTTTTCAAGACATGATTTCCAGACAGAATCAGAACAGTTGTTCATTAAATCCTGCAGTTCACTAACACATCATGTGACCATCATAGCTCAAAGAACAAAAATATGTGTGTTAATATTGAGTATAAAATTACTCATGTATTTAAATCTCACAACAGCATTCAGATTAGAGTTCTTTGATAATGCAGCCAAAATGGTTCTCACAGTACCTGGATATTAACAGGCTAATAGAATGATGGTTTACAGCCCTAGACTGACCAAGGGCAATTAGAAGGGCACTACACTGTAACTGTAAATGTGACATGGTGAGAATGGTGAACTGAAGCAGAGTGAAAGGATGAGCTGTGATCTGGTTTAATGTGGAGCTGGTGAAGAGACCAACCTACTTTGCCTAGCAGTAGAGAGCTGGGAATCAAGAAGTCTGTTTCACAAACTATTTAGGAATTTCCAGATTTGTTGTTCTTCAAACATAGCATGTGGTCATCTAAATATTTCATTAAATATATTTAACTATATATACACACACACAGAGACCTAGCTTCAAGCCTCTTCCTTACAGTCAAGAGCAGCAAATGTTTCTTTGACTCCCCTTAGTCCAGACTTCCCCACCTTGCTTTTAAAGGAAAGCCAGCAGCAAGTCTTCTATTTCAGCATCCTATAGATCTCTGTTCTCATCTGGCCCAAATAATTACACTCTCAATTACTAAAAGATTTTGCTGTTATAAGAATTTCAAAAAAGCTACAATCATCAATAGAAGAAAACAGAATTTTACAATTTATTTTGGAGAACCAGGCTTGTGTACACATTGAGTGTGTACCTATATATACATATGAATACTGTATAGGTACTTATTTATGTCAAAAATGCATTCAAAAATCAAGCTTAAAAACTAAATTTCTTCAATAGCCTGTGCATAGAAAGCACTATTTCATTAAGGCTTGTTGCCTCTTTTTTCACTGCTCCTATTTTACAGGTCATTGCCAATATTCTCTTCAGTCACTCTACTTCTATTCTGCCTTTACCTTCAGTGTACATTTAAATTCCTTCAGCAGCTCTCAGAGCACTGCACTTGTTCTGCTGACACTGCCCCCACAGCTTCAACAGTATCTGTTCATAATTCACAGACTTGCATTGTCTGACCCACTGGAACAATCTGTTATTAGGACCAATATCATCAAAAGAGATTTTATACATGCAAGATCACAATGCAAACTAAACATTAAATCATGAGCAGTATCTGAACATAAAACTGTACAAGACACCCAGATGTTATCCTGGTTTCTTTTATCCATCTAGAATTTGTCTACTTATAGATGAAAACAGAGTGTTTTTAAATACTCATATTTCATGTTAAAGTAAAGCTAGAATCGAATTCTTAAAACATGTATCTCTAGAAATTTCAACTGCTCATAGTTTGATTTCTATGTTAATCCTAATTCCATAGAAAAACATACTATGGATTTGGAAGTATGCACATATACATAATATAGTGAAGCTTTCTTACATAACTTAGACTCCAGTGATGGCGGAGAAATGTTGGACATTGCAAGGTCGCTCTTTGATTTTTTAGGCTTTTTTGCATTTACTTGCCAAGGTTTATCATAACTTCTAAAATCTCTCCTTGTTTCCTTATTTTCTGTTAAAAAAAAATCAAATCAGGCAATTATAACATTTGCAAGGTCATTTTTCAAAGGCTTAATAAACAAACGATAAAAAACAAGATCCCCCAAATCCAAGTCAGCTCTTTTTGTCCTCCTATTCCTGAATTTTAATACATTCCATATATTTTTACCATTTCCTAAAGACTAAAATTTAGAAAATAATTACTATGATTTTCATTAAAAACTTAACATCCTATTTTTTATAAGGAAAATTCCTTAATGTCCATTTCTTCTCTTCGATGTTTTACTGTCTATGCTTAAAACTTTACATTTTATATAAATAAAAAGTTGATTTGACAGGCAACTGATGTTTTGACTACCAGCAACTATATAAGATCTATTATCATCTGAAAAAGAGCATCAGTCCATTTTTAAATACAAAACCAGCATTCTAATAGTACCTTATAGTAGAACATCAAAGCTCTGATTTCTACTTTAGAATCAGAGTAGATATTATTTAAAAAAAAATAATAATTTTATGCTTCTGAAGATCTATGATCATAAGTTATTAACGTAATAATTTATATTGATATAATTATTACAAAAATAATTAAATTATATTAAATTATATCAAGGTATAGTGATATAATTATTCTAAATTATTAATTAAAATACATTAAATGAACTGGATATCATGACTATAAATTATTAATGTAATTATTAAGTGTTGAAATGATGGGATTGTTAAAAATGTGTATTATTGAAGAAAACACCTCAATAGAGGCTCATCTCAGGCACAAATATAACACAGGATGGAAATAGAAAACAAAGCAAAGAGTAACGGAAAGCAAAGAGGATAGTGGGCAAATCAAGGTATCTGCAACTTCTTTCTCACTGAGACTGGGATTGTTTCCACCTTGTAGCTCTGACCCATGCTCACACAGGCGGAGACAACATAGCTGATATTCAGTATCTACTGGACAAACGAGATTTATGACACATGCTCAAATCCACAGAGCGGTATCTGTTCATGAGGTACAAATGCATCCAGGAGATGATGGATGGAGGTGTGAGAGGATTATACTGAAGACTAGCCTTTTCTAGCACATGGAACATACCTGAGGTTTCACTCTCTGCCCAAAGGGCAGCAGAGCCAGACAAGGTTCTCTGAAGCTGACTGCGGTTCCCCTGTTTGGACTGAAGATGGTTGATTAGAAATGGTATTGGTTGATCGGGTGTTTCCGTTATCAGCTTTGTCATCAGCTCCTTTAGGAAATGAAAACAAAACAAAAAATTAGTGGCATATTGCACCTAAACTAGTCTTGTACTTACCAAAAGTACAGGATCAGTTATAAAGGAAAAGGCTGCTTTCAACTTCAAAGAAAGCAGCTGGAAACACCCTTCTCCTCCAACTTCTAGCTTTGTCCTGTGAGACTTTCATCTCAGAAGTGCTCTTACCCTGTACACACAGTCTCTTATCCACCAGAATTTACATTAAACAACCCAACTCCCACTGCCTGCTCAAACGTACCCCAAACAGTCTGAATGCTGTTCATTTACCCATTCAGAACAAGCACCTGTCAGAGCAGCGAAGAGCTCTTCTCCAACCCATATATTTTTCTCATTGGAAACTGGTGTATCAGGAAGGATGGTTCATTTTTGATCTCAGACATGTAACAGTGACCTGGTTAGAATATCTCGGAACATTCACATCTGAGAACCCTGAGGTCTGATCAAGCAGGCAGACATTTTTTTTAACACAAGTCCTCCAGAATATTATTGTACAGACATGAGCAAGTGTTTTATTATACTGTTGCAGACATGGACAGAAACCAAATGTCAGCAGGAAACCATCTCCTAGGCCATGCATTGACAGGTACATCTAACTGCGGTGCTACACCCTGCCTTACAGGGCTGCAGGAAGAGAATCACTCTCCACATGGCTGCTGAGGTTCTTCCTGGCTCCCTATACACAAAACAGTGGCTCTATGCTGTGCACGTGCCCTGAGAGGAAATCAGTGACTAATGTGGGAGGTGACCCCAAAATCCACACAGTTCCATGGCAAATCTCTGCCTGCCACTGCAAAACAAGAAAGCTCCACAGAAATAACAAAATGACAGAATTTACAAAATCCGGACAACAAATTGCCTAAGTTAAGAGCATTCAGTCTCTCTTCATCTATCCCCAAGCACAGCTTTTACCATAACCTCTACACACCTAAGTCTATTTCCACTTCATCTTTTCCACAGACTTCAATTTAATAAATAATTTTTGAAATATCAGTAATACCCTTGGTATCATCAGTTTATTATGCTGGGGAAAGATACTTAAGAGGGAGTATACCAAATAACAGTAAACAGGAGTAACAACCTCCTGGATTATTAAGACATAGGAAGTTATCTTCATTCAGTCCAAGACTTTCCATTTTTTTTTATTCACATAGTGGTATGAACAAAAACGTAACTGAAAATGAGAAAGAAACAAGCCTTCCATTTCAGAAAGAGAATTTTAACTTCAGGAAGCAAAAAGGAGAAAACGTGCCCAATCTCATGTCTTGTGAGGACGTAAGCATTTTTGCGGTGATTTTTGATAACCATCTACACGGAACCAAAAGCAAAAAGGAAAGGTGTCTTTGGTTTTGAAATGAAATTCCACAGGGAGAAATTATCTACTTACTAATCTTAGCAACGGTGAAGCTATAGAGTGTAACTTCATCTAGACTGTCTCTCACCAAGGTAGGATAAGGCCTTTGATGTGTGTTAACAAGAAAAATCTCAAAATTGGAGTAATTAATATTTTGGTGGCTTGGCAACATGCTAACAGCAAACCCTTTTTTTTCCCTTCCAAAAGTCAGAACTGGTGACAAGTGGCAAGATGCAATCCTGTGCTTGTAATGGACCACAATAGCTGTAGGAATTCCACTGCAGAGAATTCTATAACCACAGGAAAAGCGTCAGTCTCTAAAAGCTGACTTCTAATTTAAATAATTTCTCTGAATTACAGTCTGAAAATTATTTTTCTGCCTCAGATTAATAATAAAAAGGTGATGAGAACAGAGATACACGCATAGATGCTATGAATTTTTAAAGACATGCATGAGTGACAATCTATTAATAATACATTACAAAATTAACGTAGCATTAAAAAAGGCAACACGGAGATGAAAACTTTCACAATGACTAATGTGGCAATGTAAGGCAAATGCTACTTGATTGTTGCCATCACTGACTTGCTTGTCACAGGAAGAAATGGGCTTTAATAAACCTGATAAACTTGATTATAAGATTCTTTGTCTTGTTCTAAGGCATAATAATAAAACTAAAGAACATAATTGCACAAAGTACAAAAAAAAGTGCTACTCCAAGGTGATGTGAAATTAGGTCCTATTCAAAAAGACCACTTCTTTACTGCAAACGTATCGATAGTAAGGCCTGAGTGACAGATCTGTGCTGTCCCACAGCATGATTATCAGTACTACTCTGATTGCAATTAGAAAAGTTAAAAGAACTACAGCTATAGGCTACTTTTATCTAGCTAATAAACGATTTTATCTATGCACCTAAAGCAAAAAGGAAATAACATTGCTGGACTCCACATAAACTGAAAATACAATGCAGTTCAGAAAACACACCACTCATTTGTGTAATAAGCCTCAAACTGGTTTGCTTCAAGCACTTTCAGGGATGTTATCAAAAGGAAACACAAAAGTGACGCAACACAAAAGTGACGCAGATTACAAAACCTGCCACTTAAGGAAGAAATAGCTCTTTTTATGAGTATTCCATCACAAAAGGGGAATGATGAAGCTCTTAGAATTTGCTTCTTAAGCTGCTCCAAGCAAGGTATGAAAGTGATCTCCAACTTATCACAGCTGGGCTCCTGAGCTCTGCAGGATTTACAAAGACGACCTCCCCTCCAAGCAGTGCTAACAAGCGCGGTGACACCAGCTTCAGACACCCACTTTGTGTAAATCCACATTCACAAGCTGGAAGCATTATCTCCTTCCCCATCTTCCTTGCTGCACATGCTGCCAGGGACCCCAGAAGTAGGACCGCAGCTCCACAAGCCTCACTGCCTTTGATCTCCTACCAGTTTCTGCCACCCAACCCATCAAAGGGCCTAACTCCAGCTGCTCTGGCCCCAACACAGGCCCTTCAGGCTCACTCTTCCCTCCAGACTCTTGTCATTCCCAGAAAACTGGCAACTACAAGGAAATACATTATCTGCCTGCGGTTGATCGCTTGGCTGTGCAATCTGGTGGAAGGAGGAAGAAGCAAGAGAAACAAACAAAAAAAACCAATCACCACACAACAAAAAAAGCAACAAACTTCACATAGGCAGTAACTACACTTAGTGAGCACTCAGCTCATTTTTTAGAGTGAAAATATGTGCTTCACTGAAGGTGAAGAGATGTTACAGACTAGTAATGCCTATTACTTTCTCATCTTAGCACCATTCTCTAGGACTTACCTTGAACTTCTGATAAAATGAACCCAAGTTTATAACATACTCATCTGTTGCTCAGATGACATCTTCACAGATAGCAGGAAGAACATACTACATGGTCCTCTAAATATACTCTTACAAGTTTGATATATTTCAAAAAAAGATGAGAAAAGTGAAGTGTAAGAACTGAAGTGTACAATTTACAAAAAAAAGATTCCATTTTGGTTAGCAGCAGCCTGATCTGACTCACAACATGCTAAGCAAGCAAGTTTTCACAGAAGAAAGAAAAGATAAAAGACCAACAAATCTCAATGAAGCCTCTGCATTAACAATAGAAAAAAAATGGCACAAGATCATTGAAATGGAGCCACAAAGGTGATGAAAAATTCAACAGATAAGTTTCAACTATGCATGAAAACAGAAATGTAAGGCATATGCCTTAAAAATATTAACTATACTTTTTGCCATTCTAGCTTTAAGTTTTCTACCTGTTCTCAATTTCACCTAATGCAAATACAAAAAGTTTTGTTGACGTTCAGAACGTGTTCTTGCATGCGCAGTATGCCTCCCACCATCAACTGAAAAGCCACAGCAGTGTGTGTCTCCATGCTGACAGAGGACCTGTTCACCATCCATAGCCTCTCCACTCTCACGTCTCCCTTCCACTCCACATCCCTTGGTCTTTTCCATCACTGGGACTCTCCTCAAAGGGAAGAAGCCTCTTCAGTCAGTAGTTGATAATTCCCTGTGCACCCAAGATAGACTTTTAAAGGAAACTTGCAAAAGTTGATCTGTGGAGGTTTCCAAGAGTGAGATTCATGCACATATTGATAAGGCTGCAAAAGTTCTTGAAAAAAACCACACCTAAACTAGCGACTTAAAATATTAATTCTTTACCTGTAGAATAATCTTTCACTTCTGTGCTGTCCTGAGATCCTCTATTAGTTATTCAATGAAGGCTCAAATTTGAATTTCCTTGTGACTGACCATGCATTTAATACAAATGAAAGTCTTCACAGTCTATTAATCATAGGATCAATTACAAGAGAACTCTAATTAGCTATGTCTAAACATACCTATCAGGTTATTAAGTTAATTAAGAGACATTCTGTCTTGACCTCTAATTGATAACAGTAACCACACAACAATCACAGCTTTTGTTTTTAACTATATAGACTTCTACAGACTACAGCACCGCATGCACTGAGTTGGGCTGCATTATGCTCTCGTTTCATGGTTTAAATAATATGTTTAATGGAGGTAGAGTGACTTGTCCTCAGAAGATGTCTGTCTCTCTCCTGACCAAAGAGACTAGGTGGCTTGGCTTAAAATACAAGGTTTTGATGGGATGAAGTTCCAAATTAAGCCCATTAAATACAGCAGTCTTCACACTGTTGTCAGTGGTGATCTTTTCAGTGAAGAAGTCATGGAAACCCATAGAGCTCCCTTTCTAATTCTGAAATCTTCCTCAGTTGCCACCCACTCTACCAATCACTAGGAATTCCACCCTGAAGTCAAGGCACTTCACAGTTCAACCAAGAGAAAATGAAAACTACAGGTTTTCTGAAACCTGCAGGATTTACATCAAATGGAGTACTCACAGACAAATGCTAGGATAGACTATTACAATCTGGACTGATTTCCTTAAATCACTACCTTTCCTAAAAGCTAACTCGGCAGACTAGAGCTGAGCTTTCTCTGATCACCTGAAGTAATCTTACTCCAATTTCAAGGTCTAAGGTGAAGCCACTTGTTCCTCTGTGTTCAGTGACTCATACTGCAAATGTTAAAAAAACAAAACAAAACAAAAAAC